TAGATAGGCAGAGCCAGGTGTCAGTCACGCAGCTGGGCGAATCCAGACATAATTGTCGGGATCCGCTGCGGCGTCTCAGTATACCACGAGCTGTAGCTTGCGTTATACTGAGCTTAGGGTGACGGGAGGACGCTAGTTTGTGTCCTCCCGTTACCCTAAGGAGAACTATGGGGGAAAGCCTTAACCCCATAGTTCTCCTTTAAGCCTTACAGTACACTGCAAGGGTTAATATTAGGAGTTCTGCTTTAAAAGCTTTCTTTGTGGGTAAATTCATGTCTTCAAAGAGTCTTCAGAACCTTTGTGCAAGCATGTTTTGCATATGTATCAAGCGTCTGGTGTTTTTGTTTTGGCCAATGGAAAGCACGCATTTTGCACATTTACAGTGGTACCTCGGTTCACGAACTTAATTCGTTCCACGTTTCTGGTTGCGAACCGAATTGGCGGCGAACCAAATCAAACTGTGATCAGACCGCCATCTCGACTAGAAGAAGCCATGACCATGTGTCAGAGCGGGAAAGATGGTCGCTGTCGTGTTCGTCACCCAATGCGGAGTTCGTGAACGGCAGAAAAATTTTGCCGAACTTCCTGTTCGCGAACCGAGGTACCACTGTACCTTGAAGTCTACAGGGCCGAAAAACAGGCACAACAGAAACGAATGGAATGCCGAACGTTGCAGTGCGCATTATAAATGGGGGCCGTGGCGTTGTACCATCAACTTTCAACCAGTAAGACTGGCTCGGCCACGTTTTCTTTTTTCTTATTTTGACTGGAGTTCCTATAAAACGAAAACTAACATTTGGGTTTCAGGTGAAGTCTGAAGACACCCGAGGGCCCATTCACACCACATCCAGATCAGATTGTGTCCAGACCCAAAATGCATCCTAATGTATCCCTATGCTGTTTCTGGCCTCTGTTCACACCAGTGCAGTCTGTTGCAGACCAGACAAATACTGCATATCACATTTTCTCTGGTCTGGAATGCACACAAAAGGCATGGAAACGCATGAAAAGTGCATGAAAAGTGCATACAAACACACCTGAAAGCCAATTTTAAGCACACGAAAAAACCCAGCTCAGGAACGCGGCAAAATGCAATGCACTGCGTTCCAGACCTGGTCCTGGAAAATGGTGTGAACCTGCCCTAAAACCTTATAAGCTATCCCCAAAAAGGTGTGCGTTATATTCTCCTCATACATTATTAATGGTAGCGTAGCAGCAATCGTTTTGAGCAACGACAAAGCTGCCAGCACAGATGCATCTTTTTGATGATCCCATATAACATCCTTTTTCTACAGACTAGATCTACTACACCATAAAGTGCTTTCCCGTTTTCTGTCATCCTGTTTTCGGCAAACCCAAAACACATGTACAGGGTGATTCACAGAAGGGTGAAGAGTTTGGAGAAGGCCGGAGAAGAGAACAATCTAGGACAACATAGCTGAACTGGAAAGTAGGGATGCACTGATACCGGTATCGAGTAGCGATATTTGTGGGTTTTTTTTTTGGTACTCACCGATACTGAACACTGGAAGTCCCATTCAGGAAGCCAGGCAGCGTGTAAAGACTCGCCACTCAGCTTCCCGATTAGCAGCGAAGCCGTCTCCATGCTTCTTGTCACTAGGTGACGAGAAAGCATAGAGCCGGCTTTCTGGCCAATCAGGAAGCCGGGCGCTGTGTAATGACGCGACGGCTTGGCTTCCTGATTGGTCGGGAAGCTGGCTCCATGCTCTCCCGTCATGAGGTGACGACGGAGCATGAAGCCGGCTTCCGACCAATCAGAAAGCCGGGCGCCGCGTCATTACACGGCGCCTGGCTTCCTGATTGGCCAGCTTCCCGCAAATCCGGAAAGCGCGTCATTATCCGCCTCCTGATTGGCCGGGAAGCCGGCTCCATGCTCTCTCGCCACTTGTGACCAGAGAGCATGAAGTCGTCTTCCAGGCCAATCAGGAAGCCAGGCAGTGTGTAATGATGCACTGCCTCGCTTCTTGATACCGGAAGTATCGGGCTAGGCATCGGAGGAGCATTTGTGTGAGTACGAGACCTAGCGTTGACTGCTGCATCTTCTGTGTCCCATGGTGTCTATCCGCCTGAGTGCATTGACTTACCCTGTGTCCCTCCTCTTCCCCTGGCGCAAGTCTCTACTGCACATACGCCAGCCCCATGATCCTTCACGGCCGTTCAAGAATCTTCAGACAGCAGCGAGCGGCGGAGGCACATGTAAGTTTTTACCTATTTGGTAACTTTTTTTTCTATGTTTTTGCCTGCTAGCAGTAGATATAGGCAAAAAAACTAGGGCTGTGCAAATTAACGATTAATTTCTTGATTAATCGTTAATCTTTTTGATCGATTAAATTTTTTTTTTAACTTTCTGCACGAGCGCCAGCCAAGGCATTGGCCTATACACATACAGCACAACAATGAAGTAATACAATGAACTAGGATCACACTAATCCAGCACGTTATTATTCTGAGTTGCCCCACTCAAGCGGCGGCCATATTGAGTGGGGCACGTGAGATTAATAAAGTGCTGGATGAGTGTGATCCTAGTTCATTTTATTACTTCATTGCTGTGCTGTATGTGTATAGGCCAATGTAGTTGGATCTGTATGTGAGTTATAATTAATCAAAATTAATCGATTAAAAAAAAATGTGATTAATCGAACAGGAAAATTCTAATCATTACCAGCCCTAAAAAAAATTTAAAAGTTTAATTATACTTTAAGGCCGCAGACATGGCAGAGTGAGTCACCTTTATTCAGTCATCACAGGGTCGACCTGTGCCAAAAAAAAAAAAAAAAAACCCCATGGGTTACCAGTGCTAACCTCTCTTTCAGAGATCATTAGTTGCCTGGCTGTCATGCTGGATTACCAACTTCAATATATGCGACACAGACCCGTTGTGAACATCAGACATTCTGACTTGACTGGCTTTGTGTCCGTTTCGGGTCCTTCAGAAAGTACTGAAGCCTGGGACAGCCAGCATTATCGGCAGTTCAGAAACGGAAACCTTCATATTTTTCTCAGTGCGGGTTTCCAAGATCAACTATTCTGAAACCTTGTCAGAGGAACTGAAGCTGGAGAAAGTTTAAAACTCGATACCGAGAACGCAACCAGAAGGTGTGAAACCAGCACAAGCGCAACCTGAAAAATATCCCGAGAAGTAAATAAACAAGTACACTATGTACAGAACCTTCATCGGCCTTCACTGGCACCCTCATCCCATTCTGTCATGCTCACCTTCTTGCTTCATGCCAGTCTGTCAGGTGGACCCTCTTACTTCAACACCTTGAGTCAATCAATGATCCAGGAATAGTATGCAGATGAGTAGATTTAAAAGTATGCTTTTCACTTCATTCCAACTTACCTGAGCTGCATGATTCTCCGGGGTCAGTAAATCAAAGTACTAATGCCAGACACAGCCAGGCAGCTAGCATTTTCAGGACAGCGACGGTAAATGTGTCTCTTATGACACATTTACTTTAATAATAACGATTATAAATTATTTGCGGAAATTAGAGAAACCTTTGACTTAAAAGGAGAACTATGAGGCGAGTGAAAATCACTCAGCCTCATAGTTCTAGCCGACCCGTGACAATGAAACTGTCACACGTCGGCTCAATAGATTGGGAAGTAGCTCGCTCACTTCTCGATGATGTCCCTGCAGAGAGCTGTGACTGTCACTCACGGCTCCCTGCACGGATTTCCCCCCTGTCCGACCCTCCAGCGCTGACTGGCGGAACGGACGGGGGAAGGTACAGCTGGCTCTGCCTCTGGATAGGCAGAGCCAGCTGTCAATCCCGCAGCTGGGTGGATCGCAACAGTAATATCGGGATCCGTCCCGGCCGCGGCAGCTCAGTATACCGCGAGCTACAGCTGAGCTTTGGGTGACGGGAGGAAGCTAGTTTGTGTCCTCCCGTTAGCCTTAGGAGAACTATGGGGAAAACCCTGACCCCATAGTTCTCCTTTAAAGCAGCTCTGCACTCTGAACTGTAAACACAATTCAGCGCCTCCCCACAACCCCCTGAGAAGGCTACGTCACCATCGCCCTACCGATGCACTCTGAGAAAAATACGTCACCATTGCCTTCCTGCTGCCCCCTGGGTAGGCTACGTCACCAGCGCCTTCCTGCTGCCCCCCTGGGTAGGCTAAGTCACCAGCGCCCTTTAGGAAGTGGACAAACTGCGAGATTTCAAGAAGTCTTTTTAGCCTTTTAATTAGTTGTGGTGCATTGGCAGCTCATTTATAATGAATAGGCTAACGTAACGCAATGCACGGTAATGTATGCCACAGTGTGCTTTAATGCTCCGCAATGGAAGCTTTAGTGTGAACGGGTCCACAAAGATGATCACCCAATGCCCGTTATATCACTGGGATCTACTGGTCACCTTCAAGGGTAGCAGACCCTCAGCCATCTTTACGGGGTGGAAAAGGCTTTTCCGAGTTCAAACTTTGCGGCAACCAATTGTTCCTTCAGAAAATGTTGTAAAAGGTGTTTAAAGAAAGTACAGACGTGGCTGTTTGTTTGGTACGGGTGCACATGTCGACCTGTTGAGGGTAAGGTAGATCTTTCAGCAGTCAGATCAGCGCCTAAACTTTATTTTTAGGATATTCTTGTCCCCACTGTCCTGATGAACGTTGTCAGTGGACAGAAGAAGAGAAATCCAAAATTCTTTGATTGTCACTAGAACAGGAATGGGAAGGAAAAATTACAATGGCGGCATCTGTTCTGGTGACGTGTCTTAGAGGGGATTTCCACCCAGATTTACTCTTGCTCCCTGTTTCCAGTACAGGAAGCGAGGGAAAATCTCCCTAATGGGGCAAACAAAGAAAAAACCCCACAAACGATCACCCCTAAAACACACAAGAAAATGTTTGGGTAAAAGATACAAATGACCAACAGTCATGTACAGTCCCTTTCTAGTTTCTGCAGGAGGGAGCAGCCTTGACATATAATAAAGCGGGGGGATCAGACTCAATGGCAGATCATAGCGATCACTCACCCTCCTTGCTGAGTCTCATGGCTTCTCGTTTCTTATCAATCTCCTTTAACGTTTCATCCATTTCTGGAAAGAATCAGAGAGACAGATATTGGTTAGTGTGGCACAGCCAATGACTTCTCAAATCACTTCCTGGAACTGCTAATGGTTCTAGTCTCGGGGAACCAGCAGTTACTAGACCAACACACAAAGTTAAAAAAAGCTTGCCAGCTTGCCATGGCAAGTATTACCACCTGGGTCAAGTCATTCCTGAATTCAGTCAGGTTGTTCTAAATTTAGGCCTGCTTCAGAAAACCGCTGACCCATTAGGTGGGCAGACTGGGGGGATCCTGAATTGTAAAAATGTACTGAGTTGGAAACAGCAATTCCTGCAGTGCTCTGGATTTGGGTCACGTGACCGGAAGGAGCCCCGCCGGGTCACGTGACCGGAAGGAGCCCTGCTGCCCCAGATGGTGGGGCAGCAGGGTTGGTTTTAATTTTTTCTTCTTTTTTCACTTTATGATCACTGCATGTCCCGGGCGTCGGGAGATAGGAACTCCACACCCCTGCCAAGCCTCGGTTGGCCTTGTGGGAAATCCAGCCCTGGTTATGGGAAGGGAAATGTTTGCTGCCCTGGTGCACTTCAGGTGTAAAGTAACCTAAATAAATAGTAAACAGTTTTTTTTTAAAGGGGAACTGCAGGCAGAAATTTTGTCACATATCTGGATAGGACATGTCACACCTTTCAGAGATATCGTCATGTATTTCAATCCAGTCACCATCCACTAAGAAATCCCAACTTGAATCCTGTATTATAAGGGGTCATTCCCCTTTATTTCCATTGTGTTAGACCGCCGGCCACTACGTCCGCTCCTTCCCTAGGCCAACATTCCCCGTGTATTTCATCTACCAGTTGCAAGCAATATAACATCGTCGCTCACTGTAGTGGGAGGACTCAGGAGTGCCAAGACTTCTAACCTGACCCGAGCACTAATAGTCCGGTATTTGATTGACAGGTGAGGATTAGGGATATACCAAAATACTAGTATCGGTGCAGAGTACTTGGGTGAGTACTCGTCCAAATGCTCCGATGCCTAACCCAATACTTCCGGTATCAGGAAGCTGGGCAGCGCGTCATTACACGCTGTCCAGCTTTCTGATTGGCCGGGAAGCCGGCTCCTCTCTCATCACCTCAGGGCGAGGGAGCATGGAGCCAGCTTCCCGGCCAATCAGGAAGCTGGGCGCCGTGTCGTTACACAGCAGTCCGGCTTCCTGATTGGTCAGAAAGCCGGCTCCATGCTTTCTCGTTCCCCCCCCCCCCCAAAAAAAAATATCGGTACTCGATACAGAAATACCGGTATCGCTGCATTCCTAGTGAGGATACTCCTGCTCTGTCCCACCCACTAACTGCATCATCTGACAGGTCCGGAGACTCCTGGTTTGCCCCGCCCACCAATGCTGGCAGGTGAGGTTTACATTGGTCACATACATGCCCACAATCCCGCCAAAACACACAATTCCCATTGCATGATGGGAATTGTAGTTTGTACCAGCGGCACCGCACAGCGAGCGTCAGGGATGTTGCTGCTTTTTGTGATAACTCCACTGGATGCCACAAATCTGCCGTGCTCTCTCCAGCCAAGCTACAGCATTGAGAGAATTCATCATCACATCTGTAACACACACGTACAGAAGTGATGGTGCAAATTAAAGCGGAAAGCCATGAATTCAATTCTGTAGATACTTGGTCCAGCTTGGCTCTGCGCAAGTGTCCATATCTGAAGGGGTGGCTGGGGATGCTGAAAATCACCATCGTTGTCACGCTACATATAGCGATAGCTGGTGTTCTATCGAATCCTCCAACTCGTCGAGACCTCCAACTCCCGTCATTGCGCCTGCGCAGCCACCCAAGAGAAGTATCAAGCTGTGCAATCTGCGGCTGTGCGCCTGCACCCGATGCCACAAGCACCGACGGGAGTTGGAGAACCCGATGACAATTTCGGAGCTGCACGGCCGCACCTACGGGAAGTGGAGAAGTCAACGAGGATTACAAAAACTGCCGGCTGCCGCACGCGCACCAGCGCCGTCTCGTCAAAATCTGAAACAGATATGACGTCAGAAGTTGGAGATCTTAACAGAACACCGGAATCTTCTGGGTTGATCTCCAGCAGCTTTCCATCTGCGGACGCAGCACCGGAAGTTGCTTGCTCGGCAGGGCCGCCCTTCAGAGAACATCTTGAGGGGAATTTAGCAAAACTGGAGCAGATAAAATCTGGAGCAGTTGCCCATGGCAACCAATCAGCTTCTCTCCTCAGTTTGCTCAGTTAAGAGTTGAAAATGAAAGAGAGTAGCTGATTGGTTGCCATGCACAGCTGCTCCAGTTTTGATAAATTCTCCTCAAGGTGTTCTCTGAATGGCGGCGGTGCCAAAACATCGTCTTCCAGTGCTCAATGTGCAAAGCGGAAGTAGGTGGAGACGGAGCTGGAAGATCCCGGCTATTACTGTATGTAGTGTAGATGATTACAGTGATTTTTAGCATCCCCAGCAGCCTTCTGGATATCAGATACTTACATCCAGCCAAGCTACACCAATGTAAGTCTCTGTGAAAGATCATTCCCCGAATTCCACTTTAAAGTGACACTAAACTCAGGATTTAGGGCTTTTCCCCATAGTTCTCCTTAGGGTAACGGGAGGACACAAACTAGCGTCCTCCCGTCATCCTAAGCTCAGTATACCACGAGCTACAGCTCGTGGTATACTGAGACGCCGCAGCTGATCCCGACAATTATGTCTGGATCCGCCCAGCTGCGTGACTGACAGCTGGCTCTGCCTAACTAGAGGCAAAGCCAGCTGTACCCGCCCCCTGCCCCGTCCGTTCCGCCAGTCAGCGCTGGTGGATAGGAGCGGGGAGGGGGGAATCAAGCCCCTCCCCTGTCATGGCAGAGAGCCGTGACAGGATCGAGAGGTGAGCGAACGCCTGTATGTGTTCGCTCACCTCCCGATCTACTGAGCCGACCTGTGACAGTCTCATTGTCACAGGTCGGCTAGAACTATGAGGTGAGTGAAAAGCAATAGCCTCATAGTTCTCCTTTAAATTTTAAAAAATGTATTCAAAACACTATTACAACAATGTATCTTATTTGTGTATTACTCGGCTGTAGATCCTCAAATCATCTCTGAATTGGTGCTGACACTGTCCTTCCTTCTGGAGGGGGCTACTTTTGTTCCCCATGGTCCCTGTGTGTGTTGTAAAAGAGCCATCTCTCCAAGCTCGCTCCTGTGATGGACTACAATCTCAATACAAATTAGTAAACTACACATGACATTGTAGTCCATTATAGGAGTGAGCTTGGAGTGGTGAATACTTTACAACACACACAGGGACCATGGGGAACAAAAGTAGCCCCCTCCAGAAGGAAGGACAGTGTCAGCACCAATTCAGAGATGATTTGAGGATCTACAGCCGAGTGATACACAAATAAGATACATTTTTGTTACTAGTTAATGTAAGATGTAACTGGCGAGTTTGGTGTCACTTTGAGTTCAGCGTTCTCACAGCTGATCCTTGCGGGAAGCCGGTGCCAGGAATGTGCTTCCTTTTATACCAGGTTTGTCGCACAGAAGGCATTCAGAATTCAGGACTGTGCCTGGAAACTACAAAGTGAAAGACATGAATTTCCAAGGACATATTTCAGAAGTGGGACTGTGCCTGATGACGACAGACAGGTGACTGTCATGGGCTTCCAGGGACTGTGCCTGATGACCACAGACAGGTTACTGCCATGGACTGTGCCTGATGACCACAGACAGGTGACTGTCATGGGCTTCCAGGGACTGTGCCTGATGACCACAGACAGGTGACTGTCATGGACTTCCAGGGACTGTGCCTGATGACCACAGACAGGTGACTGCCATGGACTGTGTCTGATGACCAGACAAGTGACTGCCATGGACTTCCCCTCCACACTCACCGTCACCCCCGTGTAGTCTGGACGCCTCCAGCCAGGTGATCCACGGCTGCCCCAGCATGGCTCCGGGACTGGGCTGGGCCGCCATCGCGTTGTCCCCCTGCTGCTGCTGCTGTTGCTGCCGCCGCCGGGCCCCCGCTCTGCGCTGCTCCGCTCTGACGTCATCCTCGGGCCGCTCCGACATTCTTTCCGCTACAATGTAACAAGAAAGTGATGAGATGGGGGAGGAGGAGCGGGTATCCCCCCACCGCGACCAGCGGCATGCCAGGACCCCAGCTCCTCCCCGCCCGGCAACAAAGGGGTTAAACACGTGTATACACAGCGCCACGGCCAGCGCTGGCGAGATAGAGTGCCCCTCCCCCCACACCGGCACAGGCTTACCGCTTGATCCCGGGGGTTAGGTGAGGCGTAGAGCCCCCAGGGGGCCACAGCGGGTCATCACGACCCCCAATCTTCCCCGTATGACCCTGCCGGGGATTCCGGAGGCCAGAGCGGAATTACAGGTCTTCCTTCACCCGGCTCGTCCCTCCCAACCCCCGCCCTCCCCGACAGGAACTTCCCGCACACACGGGAGGAGGAGGAGTGGGAGGAGCCGGGGAGGAGCCTTCCACACCAGCTGACAGCTCACACACATGTCACTGACTAAACCATACATCATCATCCACACCATACATCATCAATACACACTGTAAACCACATACAGTTTACACACAACATAAACATCGTACACAATCTGTACACCATACACATCTCATCCATGCCTACCACACACACATCACCCATGCCTTCTATACACCGTACAGTGCCTATGCCTTCTACATGCCATACACATCACCCATGCCTTCCATACAAATCACCCATGCCTTCCATACACATCACCCATGCCTTCTATACTCCATACACATCACCCATGCCTTCCATACACATCACCCATGCCTTCTATACTCCATATACATCACCCATGCCTTCTATACTCCATACACATCACCCATGCCTTCTATACTCCATACAGTGCCTACGCCTTCTACACGCCATACACAACAGTGACATCACCCATGCCTTCTATACTCCATACAGTGCCTACACCTTTTACACGCCATACACAACAGTGACATCACCCATGCCTTCTATACTCCATACAGTGCCTACACCTTTTACACACCATACACATAGTCTACGCCTTCTATACACCGTACACATCGTCTACGCCTTCTATACACCGTACACACCTTCTATACACCGTACACACCTTCTATACACCGTACACATTGTCTACACCTTCTATACACCGTACACATCGTCTACGCCTTCTGTAAAGACATCCATAGATTTCTCATCATCTCTACCTTCCATATAGACATCTACAGTATATATTACCAATTATTTATACCTTTGATACAAATCATTTATACCTTCTATATACAGATCTATACATGTCCTATTATCTCCACCTTCTGTAGACCCATCATAAGGATGCGATCCTCTGGAATTCAATAACGGACCGTCGAGGCAAACTTTTTATTGTGTAAAATATGGTATATGATGATATGGATATACCAAGTTCATTAAATCTAAGCTTTTCCATATATGCATTTATAGACCTCATTACAGAGCCATAGGTTTCACATAATCTATAGGTTAAATATTAGGGCTGGTAATGATTAAAATTTGCGTGTTCGATTAATCGAATTTTTTTAAAATCTATTAATCGATTAATTTTGATTATAACGCACATATAGATCCAACTACATTGACCTATACACATACAGCATTAATCTCACGTGCCCCACTCAATATGGCCGCCGCTTGAGTGGGGCAACTCAGAATAATAACGTGCTGGATTAGTGTGATCCTAGTTCATTTTATTACTTCATTGCTGTATGTGTATAGGACCCACACATGGTTAATTGTTTCAGTCCGCCCTTAGTAGCTTGACATGTACACATGGGGTGGGCCGGGTCACCACTTGGGGAAGGGGGGACTCATCCCCCCTTCCCCAAGTGGCTCCATCGGCTAACGAAGGGAAGAGGGGGAGGAGTGCGATGACGTCACGGACATCGCCGTCACCGGACTCCTCCCCCCTTCCGTTCGTTAGCCGTCACGGACATCGACGTGACCGGACTCCCCCCCCCTTCCCTTGCCGACAGAGCCACTTGTGGAAGGGGGGAGAAGTCTGGTGACGTCGATGTCCGTGACGTCACCGCATCTGCAACAGAATTTCCGGAAGACCCGGAAGCCGGCGGAGAGGTGAGTACCGATCAAAATAATTTTGATTGATCAAAAAAATGAACGATTAATCGAGGGATTAATCGTTAATTTCCGCAGCCCTATTAAATATACATCTAAAGTTGACGAATATCTATAGATTATATACTAAGGATATATCGATATTAGTATCATTGCCGATACCGAGTATTTGGGTGAGTACAGTACTCTCCCAAATACTCCAGGATGCTTATTCCGATACCGGAACTTCCAGTATCAGGAAGCCAGGCGGCGAGTCATTTGATGCCACCCAGCTTCCTGATTGGCTCCATACTCCCTCAGCACTTGGCGATGAGAGAGTATGGATCCGATTTCCTGGCCAATCAGGAAGGGGGGGAGGGTGGTAATGACTCACCTCCCGGCATCCCGATTGGTCGATAAGCTGGCCGATCAGGAAGCCGGGCGGCGAGTATTTACCCACCCCCCAGCTTCCTAATTGGCCAGAAAACCGGCTCATTGCTCCCTCGTCACTTGGTTAGGAGAAAGCATGGAGCCGGCTTCCCGGCTAATCAGGAAGCCAGGTGGCGAGTCATTACACGCCGCCCAGCTTCCTTAATGGGACTTCCGGTATTGGTATTCGTTATCGGCGAGTAACGGAAAAAAATATATCGGTATCCTATTATATACACATACACACATTTCATATCATATATGCATTAAATACACCTAGCCAAACACACATAATTTATTGTATACATACATTTATATCTACATATTACATCATCTGCGTATTTTATACACAGACATCTACAGATTTGTTATAATCTATTTCCTATATAAACACAGAAATTGAAGAGGACGCATTTTCTACGTCACTACCCCATAGTCACTTCCCATTATCTGTACCCCATGCACATAGACTTTACACACATAGGAGGGGGGTCCTTACAAACCTGCTGACAATTCACAACGGTCATACACATTCACACATCACTACAACCATGCAGACACGTGAACGTCACATCCTCTACCCTACACATTACATACACACAAGGAACGTATTGCTCCTTCCAGAGCAGCTGGACAGCTCACCTCCATCGCTCTATAAGATATGCAGCATTTGCATGGATTTTATATCAGAGATATCTTCTATGTACAGAGAAGTGCATGAGTGTGACAGTGAATACACAGCAATATACTGTATGTAACACGCATTACAGGTAACACAAACATTGTCTATCATAAACCCATTCAATATTTGCTTGGGGGAAAGGTATCAGCAAGTGATACATACAAGTGAGACAATAAACTGATATTTTTGCTACCACAAAGAGATAAAAATGGAAAAGAGAGAATAGAACTGAATAAAATAGAATGGAGAAAATATTTTGATCCAAAATTGTAATAAATACAAGTAAATAATGTTTATCCATGCAATCATTTAAAGAGGAACTTACCCTTATCTTCAAAATAACAACAAACACACCTTTGGAAATATTTAGTGATGACAATCTACAAACAGATACTTCCAGATAATTGACAGCTTTGTATTCTTTGCATACCTTACTCTTCTGTTCTTTTCCAGTCCTCTCACAGTGGCCATTTTTACTAAGGAAGAGCACAAGCCAGAGTGCCAAGGCGCTCTTGTTGGTACTCTTTTTTTTTTTTAGCTACCTCACAGGGCATCTCCACCTGCCTTCCTGGAGCCGCACACCTTACAGCTATACCTGCAAGGCATTATTCCAGTAAAAAAATGGAATAATAAGGAAGTCCAGCACTCTCAGATGTAGAACAGTGCCCCCCCTATTGTTCTACATCTGAGAGTGCTGGACTTCCTTATTATTCCCTTTTTTCTAAGGGCAGATGAATCCATCTCCCTTTACTTCCTGGAACTCTGATCAGGACATGTGACCATGCACATCATCTCAGGGGAGGAAAATGCCTTTCACTGAGATCTCGTCAGATTACAGATGAGATTTCCCAGCAATGTTCAGCTGATGTAACTTTCCAAGGAGACACCGCTTGGGCACGATTACATCACTAATGCCGAAGAGAACCAGGAAGTGGAAAAACAATAATTGTAAGTAAAATAAACATGTTTGTTTAACTAAAGAATGTAAAATTATTTCATGTCAGCATTCAGAGCTGCATACTGATGTGATTGTTATCAACACAAATCCCACCAGCGCCTAAAGCAGTGGTTCTCAACCTTTGTGGGGCCGGGACCCCTTGGTAACATTTGCCAAGATGTGGTGACCCCAATGGTAATATTTAGGGGTGCACCAATACTAGTATCTGAGTGGGCTCTCAGGTGGCTAGTGGCACTCACCTCCCCTCACTCCTGCCCAATTCCCTCTCTCAGATCCCCTCTGGCCGCCGCTGCTGCAGCACCATCTAGGAGAACTGACACTGCTGCACTAGGAGGAGGCTAAGGAGTCTCTTACCTAGCACAGCACAAGGCACATGGCGACCCCCTCAACTGCTGCTTGCGACCCACTTTTGGGTCGCGACCCACAGGTTGAGAACCACTGGCCTAAAAGGATCTTGGCACGGGATCTAGCATACATAATAATGATAATAGTAGTGCATCTTCTCACAATGAGGCTGCTCCTTAAAAGCCGGGGAGACTATCAAATCATCCGTAAACAAAAACCAAGAGAGCCCCTTCTCCTGTGCATTATCATTTATTGTAAATAGATACGAAACAATAAAAACCTGCTCGCAAAGGTCAGGTGCAGACAGCGTCTGAACATAAAGTCATTCTGTGACTCCATCTGTGAGGCTGTTGCAGATAGAGTTATTCTGTGACTCCTATGTTGGGACGCTGCCTGCACCTCACCTTTGCAAGCAGGTTTTTATTGTTTCGTATCTATTTACAATAAATGATAATGCACAGGAGAAGGGGCTCTCTTGGTTTTTGTTTACGGATGATGTGATTTTTAGTGAAAGGGGGTAAAAGTCCACTTTAAGTCTACCTGTATTCCATCCATCCTCTACACCAGTGGTTCTCAATCTGCGTAACCTCAGGACCCACATTTGTCCTTGGTCATTAAGTTGCGACCCAAGTCGCAGTGCAATGGAACGCACGCTTCATTGAAGTACCACGCGTTCAGGTGCGGGCGATTAAACTGTGGGAAGGAGGTGCGTTTGGGGTGCCATTCAAATGAATGACAACGCAACGCACCTCCAACACCAGAATGCGTAGTAGGTGCGATTGTATGGTACAGTGTGTTAATCACACGGGACTGTTCGATTAATGCACTGTACTAGTATAAACAGGCCCTCAAAAACACTGACAGACACAATCTCACATACACAATCCCCCCAAAAATTATAATTTTTTTAAGA